CCGTCTAACATACTTTGGACATGTTGTGAGGAGAGACCGGTCCTTAGAGAGGGACATCATGCTTGGGAGGGTGGAGGGACAGCGCAAGAGAGGAAGGCCCTCTATGACGTAGATTGATTCAGTGACTGGGATAATTGGGATGGGAGTGTCAGAGACAGTGTGTGTGATTGGCATAGGACAGAGCGGAGTTTAGCGCTGTTGTACATAGGGTCACTATGAGTCGCAAGCGACTCAACGGCACATACAACAACAACAACAATTATTCTTGGTGGTCTGCAGTGTGGCCCAGATACCAGTTTCTTGTTGAGTGCTGAAATCCCTCTATGTGGGAGAGTCCTATACCTCTATTCAACTGTCCTCTCAGCTTTCATGCATAGCCTAATGGGAATCTCTTTCGTCTGTGCCCATATTTTCTAAAGTTTATAATTGTCTCTGATGCTGCTGGTTCACAGAGCTTCCCACAGTGTGCACTCTACCTGGTATGGAGTCTATTATTCTGTCCTCTCATGTCTTGCATATAGCTTGATGGGAACCTCTTTTGCTTGTGCTCACCTCTTCTAAAGTTTGTAATTGTCCTTGGTACTGCTGGTGCACAGAGCAGCCAGAGACCATCTCCCCTTTGGATACACTCTAGTGTGATGTTGAGGGTGGGCAGGGTCACATGTACCTTCCAGGAAGCAGCCCTCTCACTCCGGAACCTAGCCTGGTGGGAATCTCTTCAGTCTGTAACACCTCTTCTAAAATTTGTTATTATCCATGGTGCTGTTGGTGCCTAGTGCAGCTGGAGACCAACTTCCCCAGTAACTGTACTCTCTCTATACAGTGTCAGTTGTGCATTATTTTATCCCATTTAACAAAGTACATTGTAAATAATTTGCTATAATTTTCCAGAAAAGTTATCTTAATTTTAACTATTTTTTACAGGTGATTATGTTGTTATGACTATATATTTTGAACTCAGTAGAAGAATGGGATACTTCACTATTCAGACCTACATTCCCTGTATATTGACTGTGGTGTTGTCTTGGGTATCATTTTGGATCAAAAAAGATGCCACACCAGCAAGAACAGCACTAGGTGAGTTTCCAAATAGCTGCCCCACCATGTTGTGTGATTTTAATATGAAATATTTATAAAAGTTTCTTCAAATGAAGAGACTTTTTCAAATGTAATTGATATTATTTGTGGGATACTTGGTCTATGTTTAAACAGTTCCCAGAATTTTGGTGGCTACTCTTCAGAGAGCTGCAATGCTAATTTAAAATCCTCCCCTCTCTGGCAGTTTGAATCCATCAGCAACTCTGGGTAAAAGATGTGCTATCTACTTCTTTTCAAGTTACAGCCTCAAAACCCATTGGAGGGTCAGTTATGAGTATGTTCTAACTCAACATGGCAATGAGTGAATAAATGAGTATGACCCATGTTTAGAACTTCTTAAAAAGTCATCTAAATACCTTGTTTTTCTGGTGATGGAATTAAGACCACATCAAAGATTTAGAATAAATTACTTCATCTGAGCTTCTATGACTAATGCTGTCACAAAAACGTAAGCAAGTTCCAGAAACTGTCACTTTAAAAAGTATCACTATGTTAGTAAAAATGATCTCTGATGGCCTAGATTCAAGGAGTTGTGTACCAAACCAAATGCAGGAGGTTCAAATTCACCAGCAGCTCTGCAGGAAAAAGAAGGGTGAATTCCATTTAGATGGGTAATTTCTGAAGATATTTACAGCCTTTGAAATGCTGGAGGATCACTATGAGTTGGATTCAAGTTGATGACACAAACCAACTACACATAACATATTAGTAAAAGGACACAATACTTACAAAACATACTCCTCCCAAGAGTTTTGGGCTCCGCCTTGGGGCTTGGTGCCTGGAGGCGTGTCAGAAGCTAGGGATATTGTAGCCGATGTTAGATGGATATTAGCTGAAAGCAGAGAATACCAGAAGAATGTCTATCTGTGTTTCATTGATTACGCAAAGGCACTTGTTTGCATGGATCATAACAAACTGTGGCTGACTCTGAGAAGAATGGGAATCCCAGAATATTTAATCGTGCTAATGCGAAACCTATACTTGGACCAAGAGGCAGTCATCAGAACAGAGCAGGGCAACACTGAATGGTTCAAAATTGGGAAGGGTGTATGCCAGGGATGCGTCCTATCTCCATACCTTTTCAACCTGTATGCAGAGCAGGTTATGCGAGAGGCTGGGCTCTATGAGAAGACTCGTGATGTTAGGATTGGTGGAAGATCTATCAACAGTCTGCATTATGCAGATGACACAACCTTGCTCACTGTAACTGAGGAGGACCTCGCGCACTTACTGTAGAGGGTCAAGGACTACAGCCTTCAGTATGGACTGAGGCTCAATGTCAAGAAGACAAAGATTCTCACCACTGGACCAATTGGTAGCATCAGCATGGATGGCGAAGAGATTGAAATTGTTCACAGCTTCAGTTTGCTTGGCTCCACAGTCAACAGTCTTGGCACCAGCAGCCAGGAAATAAAAAAACATTGCGATGGGAAAGTCTGCTGTTAGGGACCTCTCTAAAGTACTCAAGAGTGACTGTGTCTCTTTGGAGACAAAGGTGTGCCTGATACAGGCCATGGTCTTTGCAATCACTTGTTATGCAACAGAGAGTTGGACAATGACTAGGGAGGACAGAAGGAGAATTGACACCTTTGAGCTGTGGTGCTGGAGAAGAGTATTGAATGTACCATGGACTGCCAAGAAAACAAACAGATTCATCCTAGAGAGGGTTAAACCAGGCTACTCCTTGGAGGCAAAAATTCTGGGGCTTCATCTGACATACTTTGGACATGTTGCAAGGAGAGACAGGTCTTTGGAGAGGGACATCATGCTGGGTAGAGTAGAGGGACAGCTCAGGAGGGGAAGACCATAGGTGGATTGATTCAGTGACTGGGGTAATCGGGATGGGTGTGTCAGAGGCAATGCAATTGGCACAGGACAGAGCAGGGTTTAGGGCTGTTGTACATAGGGTCACTATGAGTCGCAAACGACTAGACGGCACATAACAGCAACAACAAAAAACTTACAAAAAAACTTTGAGCAGCTTTGAGGTACAATAATAGTAAAACTAGCCTTTCACCATTATTATTCTGTTACTATATTGAAATGCTCCCAGCAAATAAGAAAATTATCATTCTTTTTGTCATCATGAATTGATACTAACTAATGACTTAAGGGGTTTTTTCCATATTTTTTTCTTTTAATCTTGGAAGTCTTATTACTAAAACATTCGTTTTCAGTGATTTTTAAATTACTACCATGTTTTATGTAATTTTCAATGTAGTGGGAATTATTCTTAGCTTTCAGTATTTTTATTTGTGAACACAGATAAATTACTTGTAACCACAGATAGAAGGTGTTACTTCACAAAAACTTTTCTTTCAGAAAAGAGGAGATGCCTCAGTTTCTAGTCCTTACAAAATCCCTTAAACATGTTACACAGTGCCTTCTCTATTTATTTTTTTATTGTTTGCTATTTTTATTTTATAGGAAAGCTCTTTTTGAGGGAGAGAAGTTTTAGATACTTAGAGAAGATGCGTGATAAGTTTAGAAAATTGTTAGGCAACCATATCACAAATTCTGTAATTATTCTTGGGTGGAGTTATGATCTCATGGTCATAAATGTTGAACACAACTGTAAACAACACTTAAAGAACCATTTCAAAGCAATATAATATGTTACTATGTTGTGATATGTACCATCTGGAAAGAGGATTGTTGTTTCTTTTAAAAAGTAAATATTCATCAACATATACCATTATGTACATAATGAAAAAAGAATGTATTATCCTTGTTATACTCTAAGAATACATTGGAGAAATATATTCTTCTTTCATTATCTGTGCAAATATGTGAATATAAAATGTTTTATCTAATAATTTGAATGAACATAAAGATTTATCATTCTCATAACATGGACTTAAATTACATAAAAATATCTATTATGAGAGTAAAAAGAAATATTTCAATTTATATTTCCTGAAATTTCAGTCAGAAAAAACTAAAACTAATTTTTAAAATCTCATAAACTAGATTATTATGTTCAAACCATTCAACAGTTCAAATTCTCCAGCCACTTCACTCCAAAGAAACATTTTGGAGTCTGATTTCACAAAGATTACAGATTTGGAAACCTTATCCGTAGGGCAGTTCTCTCACCCATATAGTAACTATGATTCAGAGTCAACTAAATAATAACAGGTTTGGAATAACGTACAAATATTTATGACTATAAATGCACATTTAGCTATTTTTTTACTATATGTGCTGCTGCAGTGAGCACAGACTTTACTATTTTTAAAATTGTGATTTGAATAAAAGTTTATAAATTACATGGGTTTTTCATTCATTCATATACATTTTGTTTTAAAATATTCATTAAAATGTCTGATCAACTCCTCATTATACACTTCTTTTCCCTTAACCCAATTTTAGAGTATATTTATTCATTTTCTTCCTCTCTCCTTTCTTTCCCATCCCTGGTACTCAGTCAAGAATGATTCTGTGTATAAACCTTCCTTTGTTGTTATTGTTGTTGTTATACATCAAGTCAGAAACAACACATAGCTGACCTTTTAATGAGTTTTCAGAGGTGCTAAATAGCACAAAAGAAATTGCTATCTTTCTCTTGTGGAGCACTTAGTGAATTCAAACTTCATACCTTTGTGTGGACAACATAGCTTCTTACCAAGAGACCACCAGAGTTTCCTATTTTATTATATAGATGAAGTTATATTTGGTAGTGTAAAGGATTATTATGGTATAATAATCAACAGCAAACAAATCTAAATTATTTTAACTAGTTGAAAATAAAATAACGCTCTTCTCTAAATATAAAAGTAAAGAATAACCTGTGTTTAGAATTCATTAAATCAAGTCATGCTGGAATATTAACACTATATTTTCATTGCATTCTAAACATATTGAGAAGATTCATTAGTAAACAAATTACAGTTTCATGTCAAGAATATGTTAACTCTCATGAGACCAGCTATTTGGGGGACATTAACTTCTCTCTGCTGCAAGACACAAACTCCTGTGTGTCTAGCCCAGGAGGGGTTGCATCTGCTGCATCTGTTAAAGGCTGAGGCCCAGACCAGGCACACTCACACAATGGCCAGCAAGTGAACCACTGCCAGACAGATTGAAGAGTTGCATTTTTAGAGAACAATCCTACCAAGAGCACCAGACCATTACTACCACTACATGAAAAACCACCTGGAGATTGCCGAGCTCCTGCCCCTGCTATTCAACTCCAGGAGCACCAATATCACAAGTACTATGGGGGAAACACTGTTGTCTAGCGACACCACACAGGATATCCATAAGCTCTAGCAAAAAGGACCAGGACACCTTAAGGAAGATGGGGAGCCACTTCTAGAAGGGAACAACAGGTTTTTTGGTTTGTCACTCAGGTACTTTAGGGGAAACACTGTTATCAGAGAATAAGGAGGGAGCACAAATATATAGGTGCTTCATAGAACATGGCTGTACTTTGAGTAATTATATAGTTACAACAGCCTAAGGCCTACTAAGATGCACATAATGTCAGAAAAGCAGCAATCCACCTTAGTCATAATGAAAAAACAAAATAACCCTTCACCTAATATAGCAGACCCAGTTAATACTAATAGAGAAAAACAGAAGAAATATGTTGAGGTAGAAATATTTGATCAGCTACAGAAAAGGATACAAAAGTTGGAAGAAACAGTAGAAGCCAATAAGAGACCAAAGACATCAGAGACAACAGTCCGGAAGAAATGTATTGATGAAGAACAAATGAACAGTTATCAGGGTATATGCAAAAGACGGGAAAAGACAAGAGAGGCTACAGTAAACACAGTACTGGAAATAACAGGAAAGCATAAATATGCTATCCAGAATATTAAAACTGAAATGGCACAGACGTTCAACACACTGGTAGAACAAATAAGTAAAACTGAAGAAATGGAACAGAGAGTCAGTGACCTGGAAGACAAGAGCTTCACGGGAAGCATACTAAAAGAAAAATCAGATGAGATGTAATAAAAAATAAGAAAGCA